AACAAATAGACGCCTTTGACTGCATTTTCAAACAAGTCTGATTGTATTTATTTTAATTTAAATTATAACAATAATTAAACAATATTACTTTTATTTTTAATTTAGGTAACAAAAAAAGGTTTCAATTATTCGGTCAAGATTCATACATTTAATCATTTTTTTTTATAAATTCCAACTTGAATCTTATAATACGTAAAATAAAATGTCACCACTAAGTAATTACCATTTACAAATTATTTCAATGTACTTTAACACAATTTCAGACTTTGTGTCTCTTCAAATGGTTTGTAAAAAATATAAAACGATAATGGAATGTTTCCATACAAATCCTATTCCCTTGACGAGTACTACAATTCGCTTTTTTCCAAATGTTGAAACTTTGAATTTATGGTTTCGCACCGACGAAAATTTCGGGAATAGTTTTGTCGATTCGTATTGTGATGTTGCAATAAACAAATTCATTAATTTTGAAGATCTTTTTGCTTCTGAAGAATATTTTTCAGATCCAAAACCTCAAAATAAATTGATTAAAAAAAAGAAATTTTACAAAATTAACATTTACTATGAAGTCGATTATAACACTTTTTTACGATACAAAAAATCTCATTTTGTGTTTAAAAGTGTGTTATACACATCAACTGATTGTCAAAAATACGGAGAAGAAATACCAGAAAATGTTTCTATTATTCAAGAGCATTGTTTTAGTAACAACGAAAAAATTACTTATTGTGAAGTTCCAAGGCATGTTTTAAACATCAGAAATAGAGCATTTTTTATATGTTATTATCTTACAAAAGTTGTCCTAAATTATGGTCTTTGTTCAATTGGGGATGATTGCTTTTCAGCATGCTATAATTTAGAAGAAATAGAAATTCCAGAGAGCGTGACTTATATTGGAAATACTTGTTTTAAATCTGATTATTCCTTGAAGAAAATGAATATACCCAAAAGTATCACCAAAATTGGAAATAGCATGTTTAAATATTGTCGTAATTTAAGTTCTATAACCATGAAAAATGTTATTGAAATTGGAAATTATTGCTTTGAAGATTGCACCGAATTGTCTGAAATTGTAGTCGATAATTTGAAAGTGGTTGGAATTAATTGCTTTGAAAATTGTGAAAAGTTGGATATTACCAAATTAATTAATTCAAAAATTGAATAATAATTGAAATGTTTTTATATTTGTTTATGTAATTTTACACATTATTGTTTTGGGTATGATCAAATTAATCACCTGATGTTTATTTAAAATACATTACATTATAATTATAATAAATACATTACTAACATCAAACTCTTTTAATATGTTTAATCAAATTATCTTCTTAAATTATATCAATCACAATAATTTTTATCTATAAATATTATTGATTTTATATCTATCAATTTTGAAAATGTAATATTAAATAATGATACTTTATACCAATATATTAAATTAAAAATTGAACTAAAAAAATATTTAATTAAGATATTATCAATTAATTATATTAGTCAATAGT